GGGGGGGGTGGGGGGGCAAAAGGAAAGAAATGTGTCATCCTTGAGAATATGTCCATTTTCCTACCTCTGAAATTCCCAGCAACATCTAGCAAGCGATTTCTCTCTCATCTTCCCTCATCAGAAACATAAAGGGCCTTTGCACTTGTGGGAAGGGGGGGGTTGGGGGGGTTATGATTCCTCTGATCATATATGATTTATCAACTAGAAGATAAAAAAAGTTGAGTTCAGTCAGCTCTCTAATCACACCCCCTACCTCTTTAATCAAAGTGACAGCAAATTCTTCAAAGCGGTTATGGCTGTAAAATTGCGCCGACCCCACCCACCCTGCTTTCATCTCGTCCAATTTCCACTCAACATAAGATAATAGCTCTGGTTTAACTGCATGGCAGATTCCTTCACGGTTGGAGTGTTTCAGAAGACATAGAACCTCCTCTTACAGATAAATACAGTAAACAGAGTCCGGCATGCTGAATGGAATAAAAATAAATGACCAATTCACGCTACCCCTCCGCCACCATAGGTGTTCACAAAATATAAATGATGAATATGAGTGGAGTTGGGCCAGAAAAGGAACAAATTCATCTGCAAGGTCAGGTTTTGTATATGTGAGCTATGCTGACAAACTGATTAAATGGTACTTGGCAATCTGGTGGAAAATGACTCAATAGGAAACATAAAAAAATCTGTTCAGACAAAAGGCACACCGAGCCACAGGTGCTGTACTCGAGCAATTGCTCACTGAACTCACTGAACATACACACTCAGAAACACAGTAATAATGACAGATTAAGAGACAGAGGTCAAAGTAAAAGCCTGGGAAGGGAAAAGGGGAAGTACATCAGCAAAATAGTTCCACCTCTGCAATCTGAAATGGGCCTGATTTTTGTTACATGACAAAAACTGACTGTGGGTGTAGCCTCTCTGGCTACATGGCACGACTAACCAAACCTTTCTATTAACTGACAGCCCTTGACATGTAGCAGAATTGTATTTTTGCCACATACAATTCAAAGTTATTTAGCTAGGGTGTCCACAAAAATATCAAATTTGTCACCAAGTATATGTATAAGCTGAAGTTCCACAGTACACATTCCCATACACTGTGTTAGTGTAAATCTACATGCTCATCCCAAGCTAACGGGGCATTTCTTCCAGGACTAACATGCCAAAAAATGATTATCCTAACATTTCCTAATAAAAGGATAGCAGCTCCCAAGTCACACTGGGCCATGATGTCATCTCTGCAATCTCCTCTCTCCGGCATTCATTCTGCCATTTGTTACCCATGCAGGATTTAGATTGTGCATGCAGAGCAGGTGACAGATTTTCCACCAATGTTCCTGCACACTGGCTGGGAATTGATTTTAGCCTGAGGTAGAGAGGATGACAGCTTGCAGGTACACTGATGAGGACAGACTCCAGAAAAAGGAAAAGAAGAAATGGGGGGGGGGGGGGGGGGAGGTGAAAAACAACAATTCAAGATGAAAGACACTGGCTAATGAAACAAAGTCTGAATGCAATGTCAAAACACATCTTTTTTGTTCCTCACTCTGAATAGCAATGTCTTCCAACGTCCCTCTGTGTAGAAGGCTGCTCTTTTACTACAGTGCTTGCCATGTGTTTGTCACCATTGTACTATTTTAAGACAAAAAAAAGGCACTAAGCAGCGCTGTGATGAGCTCTTGTTCTATCAACCAGTCTCACATTAAGGGTACCCCTCAGTGCCACTGTCGTCTGTTCCAATAAACATTTCGACATAGGACAGACGCAGAATTTGTAGTTTATTCCAAAATGTTAACATACGACGATGGGATGTCAGAGGCACCTAGTCTGCTAGCTCATAATTCAGTGCTAAACAAAAACCAAGATTGCCGCACCTCAGGAGAATACACTGCCTGTGTACCACTGGAGCAGCGCTACACCTGCTCTGCATGTCAGATTAGGTGGTGAAGAGCCCCAGTGAGGGGGTGGAAGACACAACACTCATACTCTATACAGCCATCCTGGAGTGCAATTAGACAATAGAGAGAACACTTCATTCAGGAGCCACTGTTGTCTCCTTTCTCTCTGTATAAAGTCACCTGTACAATCAGTGTCCGGGACCAGATGGGCAGAGCAGAACCGCTAGGTACACACCTTAACAGATGTTAGACAGCTGTTAAACAAACATAATCATGAGCAAAGCTACGAAGGATGGCTCTTGTGAGCAAAACTGAGTCAACAACAGTATTCATTAATGCAACAGCACGGCCACTTCCGAGGCAACATTTTTAAGAACACAGAAATCCGAGTATACACGGGCGCATTTTGATTACGAATTAACAAAAAAAAGAGGTTTGTCTTTCTCTTTCCACTTGCATCACAGACAAAACTATATCTGTGTAATTATATAGAGGAATTTCACTATAAGATACAGTATCAGTATTACGCAGCAATTTTTCAGTGATAGAAACACAGCAAGTCCTTGTTATTTAAGATTACCTCAACATTCAAAGGCCACAGGTGTATTGTGACGCAGAGGCATGTGAGAGGAACTAGGTGGTGCTCATTTCTAAGAGAAAAAAAACTACACTTGCAGATGACATGGGCTGATAGAGGACAGGGCATAAAAATACAATGCAATCAAGTCTGAACCTGCCAATGACAGCTTTGAGGTGTACAGAAATCTGCTCTTGGCCACAGAACCAAAATGGTTTCAATAAAACATTGTCTTTGAATGCCATCTAACCTTGACGACTATGACAGCTAGCGGGCTTCAAACCCGGGTTGACCGGTATTCATGCAGCATGCCACCGAGTACACGGTACGGTAGAAAAACAAGGAAGAGCCATTTCACAATACCCTCATATAGCGTCACTGTGTTCCTCTCAACATGGCAGAGTTTTCGTCAGGGGTAAATCTTGAGTTAAAAGTTATGGGCACTACTGATGCACTGGCTGTGGAAAACATCTTGGCAAAAGATGTGTGCGGTGTGAGGGTGGCAGGGACAGTGAAGCTTTCAAAACTGATACAGAAATGGTCCTCCCAAAAATAAGTCACAGGGCCAAATTTGCAACAGCTAAACACACCTAGGGGACTGAGCAGAACACTGTGAAATGCTTAGAAGTGAGCAATGGAAAGCGCCCCTGACCGGTCTCATTTCCGTGACAGACTTACTGAGCTCCCGTTGATTGCTTTCCTGTGTGAGAAAGAAACTAGACAGTCGAAATGAACACGTATCAAATGCAGGTAAAATTGTTGCTTTGTCATCCATTACACCGGTACAAACATGAAAGGGTCATCGACCATTTTGCACTAGCTATTGGCTTTGACATGCCCGCAATGTAACTGAGCTATGCTTTTGGCTGTTCTGCTCTCAGTCCACCCTCCCACCCAGTAATCTTACTGGCTGTGACAGTGGAGCACAGCAGACATACAAGGATGGGGTCGAATTCTTCCGCTATGTTGGTTTACATCTAATATTCAGTCCGTTAAATGAAAAGGCGCTGATGCACACAGATAGGTGAGCAAGAGGAGAGAAAGCAAAGCTCTTATTCATCTGAACTATCTACAGTATGTCAGTGAAGATGAGGAGGGGGATAAGCATCAACTCACCAGCTCTGTCCATCCTGCATCACTCTGAAGCACCTATTTTATCACAACGACATAAAAATGTATGACACATATAAGAGAAGCATGGATTTCCTGTGACAACAACAAGTCAAGCAACCTACAAATTGTTGTGAAATGAAATGTAAGCTTTGCAAAATAAACATCATGGTACAAAAAAAAAAAACGAAACAAAAATATCAGGTTTATGTTGACAAAAATATAAAATAAAAGGTGGGCTAGTGAGAGAAACTGCAACACAGTCACCATGACATCACATTGTAGAGAGCTATTCGGAGCTGTGTAGGCCGAGCAGGTGTGGGATCAGCCCAAAAACAAATTGGCAATAAAGTAATCAGCTGACGTCCCAACAACCAAACTCATGGTTGACTGACCAGTTCCGAAAACAAAAAAACAACACACACTGAGCTGAGATGCCCGGGTGAGAAACGCTAACCGGTGGACCCTGCTCTCTGTGTGTGTGTGTGTGTGTGTGGAGAGAGACACAATGGGTCCACTTGGTGTGGTAATGTTAGCCCATAGCCACAACTCTCCTTAAAGCCAACTTTAGCCATCCAGCTAACTGTTCAGCATCTATCAGACAGAACCGCTCAGATAACCTAAGCCGATTGACTCCCGACAAAAAAAAAAAGGTTCATAATCATTGCTTGAGCTAATGAAGAGAAATTAAGTTGCAGTCAATATTGCTAAAGAAGAAAAAGAAACAAAAAACAGTCTCCATTAGGCAAGAGTCTTGCTAGCTAACTTACCGGCGATAACCTAGCAGGCTAACACTGCTGCTACTGCAAGGCTACAGTTTCACTAACACCGTCATTTTGTTCAACCCGCTCAGTGACTGTGCTTCATGTGGGACATCACATGCACTCCAGCTCTGTGTCTGTCTGTCTGTGCCACATTACAAATCCTTGCACTTTTGATTTTCTGATGCCACCGTTTGCAGTTCCTGTGTTTTTACCTTGCGTCTCCTCGTCTCAGCAGTACCACTCCAAACAAAGCATTGGTATATGACTCGAAGATTTTGTTTCCAATTGTCCACCTTATAACCGTTCACATGGGAGCACCCGGCCGGACTCATGACAGACAAAACATTCAGTTTGGGTTTATAGGTGACAATGAAAAGTCTCCTGGATGATTCACTTAGCCAGCTAGCTAGCTAGCACGGACTGTCTATCCAGAAATGGTTTCCGTTTTGGATTGGGACAATCGATGTAGTATCCAAAATGCTCCTCGGGCATCGGACAAACACGGTCTTTTCATTAACTAACACATCTGTTCATGTAGTCAACTAACGAAATTATCACTTCACTGGAATTTCTGCTCCCCCTCGCTGTTTTTTTTGACAGTTCCCTTTTTCCTTTAACGTTAGCTCCACTTCCACTCTTACGATTAGTTAGCTTTCTTTCTCTAGTTAGCCTGCTAACACTCAACTACTGCTTCACAATGCCCGCCCAGCGTACATCGTGATTTGCCGACACAAAGACGTGACGTCATTACGTTGGTTTTAGGGCACGTTGGGTGCGCTTGGTTTGTAAACCAGTGTGTTCCATTAAAGGTGATTTTTTATTTTTTATACATTTTTTTTTGGAGGGGGGTTTAACCGTGGGATGCCAATGTTTCCTTAACGAAAAATTCAACATTCAGAGTTTTCTGGGCTTCATAACCGATACAAAAATGTTCAGTAATGTTTTTTTTTTTTTTTTTTTTAATTGTGCAAAGCTGTGCCTTTTCTGAAATCATTGTCCACGGGAACACACTGTTATTGCCCTTCTGACAGATGCTTCCTCTGTCTCATGGATGCAAGTAGCCTATTTCATAGTCACTCATCACGTATGCAGAAGTGTCAGCTCATGTTTCTCTAATCTAACCAAATTAATCTATAGACATAGAGTATAAACTTTATTATTCAGTTTGAACATCAGCAAAAATCTCCCGTAGGTCTAATTATTTGAAGGTATAGGCCTACTTAGTACAAGTTCGACCTTTTCAGTATCATCAATTAAAGCCTACCACCTAGTGGTGATATGACGTATGTATTGTCATCCATATAAAGCACACACTCAACTTGAAAGCCACCTTGGTTCCATTAATATTGTATGGAAGTGTGCACATGAGACCAGGGACCATGCAGGCTTGTCTGATTGGGGCCTCATAGGGGTGCTATGTGGCCTCTAACACAATTTACATCAGAATCACAATCAGAATTAGGTTTATTGCCAGGTAAGTTTTTACACATATGAGGAATTTGTCTTGGTGCATTGGTGCATAGAATATAAAAATCACACAAAAACCACACAAAAATAAGGTACTTTTAAAATATAAATAAATAAAGATAAGAAAACTGTACAGGAAACGGGAGTGCATTGGGTATTAAGAGTCAGTGTTAGTGGGGGTTCCTGTTAGAAAGTCCCACTATGGGCCTTTTCCCAATGAAAATCCACAGATGTGTGCAATTTACTTTTGTCTAGTTGGTTTTATGGTCAATGGACTACTCAAGTGGGAATGTTAAATCATAGTTTCAGAGTGATCGAATTTGGCTTGGATTTGAAATAGTGGTAACAGGCCAAAGTATAACACATGAACACATGTAATACTTTTCCCACGGGTTTCCTCTTTCACATTTCTGGCTGGTATATAGTGGGAAAGGTGGTGGAGTAAAAGTAGTGTCGGGGAAATTCTTCCATAATCTGGGGAGAGTGTTGCTAGTTCTCTGAACGAATTACAAACCCAGCTGTGATGAATCAAATTTCCTCTTACTCATTGCAGCATGGAGGGAAGAGCACATGGTAGTGGGTTGTGTTTTGATGGAATAGCGAGACGACCGGTCAGGCAGTTGCAGCAGTCGGGTGTCACACAGGTCAGCAGGAACCAGTTGTGAAGGCCTAAACTGGGGCCATGTGTAAATGAGGATTAGGAATGTAGCATAGGAGAACAGCTGTATCCTGTTTAGTGATGTAACAGAGGGGTATTATAAGGCCAAGCATTTAGAAGTCTGGAGGGACACGTCTATGCTGTGGTCCCCTCTTTTCCCTCCATGCGGCCATGAGTAAAGGAATATTGATTTCATCACACTGGTTTGTACATCTCTGGCAGACGAACTAGCAAACTCTCCAGATTATGGAAGAATTTCCCCGACAGTAGCAACATCACTCTGTAGAAATACAATGCAAAAGTATTAGCATCCAAATATAGTAAAAAATAAAGAACATTTTCTTCTTCTTAAAAGTAAAGGTACCGTTTTACTGATGCATTATTGTGCAAGCATATATTTTGTGTTGCAGCTGGTAAAAGCAGGGTTGATTTATATACTGGCAGGTATCTTAATCTATAATATATTATATATATATAATATATATATATATATATATTATTGTAATAATCTGAATCTGCAAAGTAACTAGTGACTGAAGCTTTAAACAAATGTAATGGAGTAAAAGTTACAATAATCCCCTCTGAAAATGAAATTAAAGTAGAGCAAAACAATTAATTACTAAAGGAAAGTTGCAGTTACCTCAAAACTATGTTGAAGTACCATAATTGGGTACATTTACTTTCCACTACTGGTGGACTAGATCCGCATCTGAGAAGAAGATGACCCAGAGAAAGCAGCTTGAGTTCCTTCTGAGGTGTTTCCTTACTCATTACAACTTTATACTAATTACCACCATTACATATTAGAGGCGGACTTCTAGATATCTGGCTCTGGCTGGCAACATTTACAGGTCCAATTTGGCTTTGTGTGTGAAATTGTAGTGGGGGAAAAGTGTTACTTCCCTGGATTATTCACTTGGGGGCAGTGCAGGTCTATGTATCTTTATAGTTAAAATTGTTGCTCTGAGGAGGAAATGTTGCTATTATTCATACTAGTGTATAAAAAATAAATAAATTGAACATTGAGCATATATTATTTATCATTCATTTTAAGACATAAAAATAAACTCCTATTTATATGTGAGTTGTATTTTCCCATTTTGCCTGCACACACACTCATGTATGTGTTTAGTGTCTCTAAGTTTTACACTAAGTGTCTGAAATCGACAGGAAAGGAGGAAATCAAAAATATAATTATGATTAGGACCGTGATTGTAGGGAAAGCCAATAAATATATTTTTTGTGTGTAATAAGTTTAAAGTGAAGACTTCCACACACTACATGCAATGCATCACTTTGTAATAGGTTAAAAATCACACAGAAATAGCCGACTGACCAATACAAAAGAGACTGGCGCAACAGGGCACTGTGTCTCTACGTTTTAAACTTCAGTCAGCTGCTGTCGTAACAGAAGAATGAATGTATCTCAGATGATTCATTGATCAGATGTGATTCTGTTAATCAGGGACTAAATGGAGAAAAAACACATGTTCATGTCTTAGACAGTTGGAGAGGTTTTAGGGACATACCCTCAGCATATTGCTGGGTATCTCACAAAAGATTCTCCCAGCAAGGGAACAGCTTGTCATCCATTTCCATGGAGTCAGTTCACAGTTGGGTATTAATCAAAACTATGGTCAGGAAAATCTTTTCAAAATGACTTCTGTTCAAATGTTCAAGGCATGCAGGACTAAATAAAAACATGGATAAAGTGTACATTTTGGTAAAATGAAGTCTAACCCCTGTGAGAACTGGGCACCAGGTTTCCCCAATAGTCTACTGTTTCTGTCTTAGGTTTTAATTTAGTAAATCCTGCATACTCCAGAGCCACCTGGTGAGCTCATGTTACCAGCTGGGGGCTTTTATTTGGAAACTGCAGCCTACTCCAAAAGGCCCTGGTTAAATCCAGTCACCGGGTTGAGAAATTATGTATGCATGCATATGTTTCTCCAATAGTGTATGTGGACACTGCAAGCTAAAGCAATTGGCACTATGTTATAATAAATATGTATGTGAATTTGTAAATTAAGTTACATCACTGGCTTTGTGTGTATATGTATCTGTGTCACATCAATTAAGAATCCACAGATGCAGTTAACTGCTAAGGGACTTCTGGGACAGTTATTGATATTTATGATGGCTACTACATATTATCTTAGACTATTATTGTTTTTGTAAATCCGATGTGCTTTTAATGTCTACATCGAGGCTCTGATTCTGAATTATTATTACATGTTCTGTGCTGTATCAGAAATAGTAAGAGTTAGAATAGTAACAATAAAGCTACTGTGACACCACAGACACCAGAAAAGCGATCTTAATAGCAAATCACTACTCAAACACACTTTTTTTTATTACTCAAATCACCTAGATATTTACATTGTGAGACTGTGCACACTCTGCTGTAATTACATTTTGGCACCAAAGAGGCCTGCTTAAACATTATCAGGGCTCCATGGCTCCTTCGCCTTGGCTTTCTAGGAAATCAGAGTGACCTAACAGACTCTGATGCAGCTCTCTGGTAATTATCTAGTGTCAGAGCCAGTTCTAAGGAAAAGCCAATGCAATCGTTCAGTTTTGCACTGAATGATTCAAGTTATTTATTTAATGTGGTTTTGGAGACAAAATCCTTCACCTTCTGAATAAAAGATGACAAAACAAAGTCAAATTTGTGCCTGAATTAAGATGGAAAAAGGTAGGTGAAAGGAAATGGAAAAACATTTCCTTACAAATTAAAATTTTGTTTTGCACAGCCTGATCATAACTGTCCTTAATGCTCCGTATTTATTAGAATTAATAGGCTTACAATATCTAATCAAAACATCTTGTGTCAGGAAGACGCGTAGTGATGCGTAGCTTAAGTGACCATCTTTCGTATGGAGAAGCATGCTAAGATTAGGCCACAGAACAGCAAATGGGACATCTGCATCCTGCCAGCTCTCTGCCAGAGAAGATGGAAAGGGACACATTTGTTGGAAGCTGTCAGCAGCCCTTTTACGTCATCACAGAGGCTGGGTGGGGCTCGGAAGGCCACTTGGGGAGTGCTATGCAGGGGTTCAAGTGGAAGTGGACTGAAGTCAACCAGGCACAGTAGTTATCTAGAACTCCCTTGTTAGCCATAAAGTATAACTCTGGAGGCACGAAAGATTCTCAATGAAAGAGATGATGGAGTTTAACCTCTGGAGTTCATACATTGGAATTTCTGTTAGGAGTCAGAATTTATACAAACCACTGGACCTTTGGCCTTTCTCATAGATCTTGCTCCCGCTTTAATGTTAAGCAGCAGGACTTCTGCTGTATTTACGTTTACACAAGTGTTTTTTTGATTTTTCAGTGAAATTTGTTAGAAGCGTAGGAGGATTAGACTAATTTCTTCAGAAAGATATATCCCATAACAGTTATTGACATGCATGCTTTTGTGGCTTTTTAAAAACAAACCAACTGATATATTGAATCTTGCTTGCACATTTTTGTGAACGGTTTACCATGGCAATGTGTAAAAGAAGAAAATACTGAAGAATGTATAATTAATTCAGTGGTACTTGCAGTGTGGGTCAGGGAAATGTGTTTTCCAGGAATTTCAATAACTTTTATGTGACTTCTATAAGCCCTCAATGGTTTAAGTAAAGCCACTGATCATTTCACATATGTCACATTAGCAATTATCACCATCTCTGAGAAAGGGAGAAATTCATACTTATTTGCCTTTGAAAGTACTTAAAAATATATACATTACATACATACATACATATACATTTCTATTCATTTATAGCCTAATAGCCTAATTTGACAAGTTCGATGGAAGCAAGGCTCTTTGACAAGGATATATTCAGACAAGGATATATTCAAAATATTAATCTTATTAATGCTTTTCATATTGTCACATTCATATGATCGCTGTCATTAACTCTCTGGGCACAGGGTTTGCTATGTTGACAAATCCATTACAGCATGGAGATATTACTTAAATACTTAATACTTAAATAATACTACAATTTCTTATAATCTTGATAGAAGATGCAAATGTAGATAAATATAACAAGATTAACAGCATCACATTTAGGCAGTAAGATGATAAGGATTTTGTTTCTTTTCTTTATTTGTGAAATTGTTTGCTGGCTAATGGGCTTCCATTAAGACAAGAGATCAAAGAGACAACAACACACAGAAAATCAGTCAAAGAGGTATCAGTGATTCTGACCAACATGACAGCGACCAAGCTCCTTCCTGTCTTGTAGCCAATTCCCCAGCTGGAAATGGGTCAAAGTAACTCAGAATGAAGCAAGATGAAGCAAAAGTCACAATGAAAGAAACTCTTACGTGCACATACTAATGCGACACTTATCTTACTCGGACAGGAAATGTCTGCCTTTACTATTGCTGCACATGTCATTTTACTCTATGACACAGCTGTTATATTCTAATAGCATTCCAATTATAGTATGTGACTGTTATTCAGGTCTATTATGTTTAATAGTTGTGGAGGGATGACATTGCTGGGTCATAAAATGACCCATTTTTCACCACTTATAACTGTGAGGTGCCACAGCTTTCCTTATGACCCAAATAGTAAAACACAACCGCATAATGCCCTACAAATTCAAATCTGGGTCACACATACATACAACTCTATAACTTTCAGCAGTAAGTAATTTCTCAAAGTCATCCTGGATATTAGCGTCTGGTAATATCATCAACGCTACCACCCAGTAAGAGGCACGACAAAAGAAAATGTTCAATGAGCCTGACATCTAAATGAAGTCGCACTACAGCAACTCTTAATTAGGTCTACCCCTGGCTGTGTCACGGCAGCAGTGGTCTCTAATGAGAATTTGTCCCTGCAGTGTTTACCAGGTGTGTGTAATATGTGTGTGGGATGCAGGGGGCGATTAACCACTGAATCTGTCCTTTGAAGTGAACATATAGCAGTGAAAATATATAGGTCAGTGAGGTTTGGAAGATCAAGAGATCAAATCAAAAGACCATAACATTTCAACAACTACAGCAGAGACCAGCATGTGCCAACCCTGCTCCTGTGTGGTTTTGTGTATTTAAAAGACAATACACCTCTGATTATTTTAGTTTAGTTAACTACATCATAAACACAGTATGTGATCTGTGATGCTGTTCATCATGGGTGTCTATAATCCCTCTGTTTGCAGGCAGACAATAAGCAACTCAATAAACACTACACGTGCCATTACCAATATTAACTCACTCTTATCAGTGGTCAAACACTAAGTGAGCCTATGGCGAAATCGTTTAAGTTGCCAGGCTAATGACGCTTATGACTGGACGGAGACCTGTGGGTGACCGAGATCCTGATATCACAGGAATATGGGTCAGTGAAGTGGGAGAAAAAGATAGATCAGGGTGGGTTTTTATTTATTACCACAGAATGGCTGTGTGGATCTCATGCCTATATGTATTATGTTGATACTTATTGCAAAGACAGAATGCATTTGCACATGTTACCACCTGCATTTGTGAGGCACTAATGATGCCCAAACCTGTCCGTATTTTGTTAGGTTCCTGTTAATTAATCTAATTTCAACACTAAGTGCCATGTGTGCAGACAGGAAAGAGAGATACCCAGGATAGAAATGCATGACCTGAATACAACTCTTCACTGATGTACAGAATAGACATATAGTATGACTCAGTGCAGTCCATTAGACCATATTTGTGCCCATCATGCACACTAATGTTTAAACAGGTTGCCACGTGTCACTCTACATGCACACCACGTGTTCTGTCAATCTTGTAGATAAAAAGGTTGAATTTAGGTATAGGTGCTTAAGGTTGCTAGGTAGTATGTGTATGTGAAGCATTTATTCCCAGGCATCGCACAACTGATTTGTTTGTTCTGTGTATTAATGGCTTGTCTCTGACCTATTTAGTGGGAAATATAGATTATCAGGGGTTTCATTCAAAGGTCTGTGCAAATCCTGTGGGATCACTACATCTTTCCAATAAGATAAGTGGAAATAGAGAACTTCTGTTTCCTCAATATATTTTAATGACCAAGCACCCAAATAAATAAAAAGAAAACAGAAAACAACATGGCTAAGGCATGCTGTGTCATAAGGTACTAAAATATTTTATCTGCTTCGTTCGTTAAAATATTTACCTATGCATAAGAATGTGGGATTATTCCGTTTTTCAATATACTTTGAAACAGCTTTATTCCCAAAGTGTTTGCTATGAACACCAGCTAATGAAGCCTATTTGAAGCGGTGTTCAAAGATTACAAATATTTGTGCCAAATAATAAAGTAATCCCACTTTTGGAGGTCAAACTTTTTAGAAAATTATATTTTTTTGTATTATTATTATATTATTATTATTTATTTATTTAGAAGAATATAATATTACCACTTCATTGACATAGACAAAAACAAGCAAACAAACAAGGAACTAGAGGCATCAAAATGTGAAATATGAAAGGAAACAAAGGCAAAGATGAAAAAAAAAAATTCATTTTGTTGACTTCGCGTTATTTCCTGAAATTTTACTTACAAAACAAGGTTAACAACAATGCACAAGTTGCTCTCATTACACTCATATAACAAAAACAAAAAGCTGCGATCAACACGGGCAACGTGTGACGTAATCCCAGTATACATGACGTCAACTGTCTGCGCCGCGAAGACGGGAGCGTGATGGCGGTCGCTCAACAGAAGCAAGAGAAAGAGGGCGACGATTGCTCTCTGCTGCCTTTAGTTCATGACATTATAAAATGGTAAGGTTACTCATGTTCATATCCCTGTTACCTCTCTATTCACGGCTCCGTGAACGCCTCTTTATTGTCGTAAACAACCACTCTGCTGGAGTTGCTAAAGCTTGTTGTTAGCTATTAGATACAGCTAGGCTAAGTACAAAAAAAAAATGTCCAAAATAATAATAAAAACGTTTCCCCCGTGTTCGCCTTACTCTCTTCAAGCATGGACAAGGACAGCCAGGATGTCCACCAAGAACTGGCCAAGCTGAAGACGAAGATCCAGGAGGCTCGGGAGCAGATCTCCAACATGCCCGGGATCGACAGCAGTCCGCTGGAGCAGCAGCAGCAGCTGGCGACGCTGCGGGAGCAGGTCCGCACCAAGAACCAGCTGCTGCAGAAATACAAGAGTCTGTGCATGTTTGACGTGCCAAAAGCATCCTGAAACTGAAGACTGGATCACTGCACTGACTGCAGGAAGGACCGTTTCATCCTCATCATAAATGTGGGGTTCAAGATATGATGGAGGTTTAAATGAACAAGGACCTATCTTTGGACAGTGGCCCCCTTTTGTTCTTATTTTTTGGCTTTGAGAGAATGTAAACTTGGTTATGTAGTTTGTTTAATGTAGTGTTTCAGTGTATCATTTTCTTATCTTGGAATATCCCTATTGTGTAATAAAACGAACTGATGAAGAACTGAGTGGCTTATAGCCTTTTTAATTTGCCTAATATTCATGCATATTCATTTTGGCTAAGCCTGTGGTCTTCATCATTAATGAGACAAATTTTTCACACAAGCTACTGCAAAGCGATCATTCATTATGTGTGTTGCTTTTAGATTTGAGGAGTTAAGGTTATTCCGAATCTAATCCCTCAATAGTGGAATTAATGTAACCATGCACATTTAAGAGCTGGTGGCAGAAAGGGCTGAGATTGTTAACAGTTGAATGTGAGTGAAAGTGCTGTGTGGAGCATGTCCAGGGTCCCTAATGTGTCCTCAATTTAGTATGTTGCAGTTTTAACATAGTTTACCTGCCGTGAACAGGCAACATATATATATTTTCCATTAGAGGGAACTGTGTGCAGTGTTTGATGTGACTTCATTGAGTTTTGCTTGAAAGAAAGGAGAAGAGGAAGACAGACTATGAAAGTAACAAGTGGTTTTATTTTCTCTTTTGTGAAAAAGGTGGACCTAGACATAATAAATACACATTCAGAATCAAATTTGTTCATAATGCAACATTCAAGTTCCAAGTTTTTGAGAGAGAGAAAAAAAAATAGCTAAATGTAAACATTTTTTCCTCATGTGCCATTCTCGGCAAGCTAATGTAGAGGCAGATTGTACAGCATTGTCAGAGCATCTCTACTGCATCACTACACGGGGTCTCTGAGAAGAGCCACTTGCCCCATGTGTCACTGTCGCCTCAGAGGCTAAGTCTACTTTTTTTTTTCCCCGGCTGATGTGCCTGTATGCAGGGCGGCTTGTCTCCTCATCAGCACTGGAAAGTCTAAGAGAAAGTCTCTTGCACGCAGGCAAAGAAAAAAGTGTCAGCATATGGTGCAGCCTTTGTCTTTGGTCTGGCTGCCTCCTACAGCTTTCTCCTTTATGTACATCAAGTCACTGTGCACGCTGGGTCTCCGCGCAAACGGCGCCACAATCCCGTACGCGTTCCCATCTTTACACTTCTTGTTCCTGAAGGACTTTCTGTGAAGAACCTCGCTGCACTGCAGGGAAACTTTGCAGTGCCGATCGGGGCTCATTTCATTCGGCAGCTTGGCCATGGTAAAGAGAGTCTGAAACATTTGGTCTACGTTGGTGTTCTTCTTTGCTGAGATTTCAAAGTAAGCGCAGTGCTCGTCTCCGCCGACCAGCCGCTCGATCTCGTCCTCCTGCACCTCACGATAAAAGTCTTTGTCACACTTGTTGCCGCAGATGACCAGCGGGACGTCCACGTTCTCCTTGGTTTTGTTTCGCAGGCAGGACTTGGTCTCATAAATCTGGTGCTTCAGGCGCTGCACCTCCTGGAAGGAGTCTCTGTTATCCAGGCTGAACACCAAGATGAACACATCACCTGGAAGACACAAGAGAAGACAGGTTGAGTGCCAAATAATAACCATTTAATAGCCAGTGAACTTTGTAAAGAAGTCAAACAGTTATGAGTTCGGAGTTATTTTAATGCTCAACTCACCGGTAAGAATTGAAAGTCTCCTCATTGCAGGGAAGGGATGATTTCCAGATGTGTCCAAAATGTCAAGCTGGTAAACGTCTCCCTTGATGCTGTAGAGTTTCCTATGAAAGTCCTCAATAGTGGGCGTATACTGGTCATCAAACCTCTCGTTCAGAAACCGAGAGATGATGGCTGTCTTCCCAACTTTCGTGGAGCCCAGGATCACCATCCTGTGGCAATTCTTGGCCGGTATGTCGAACTCGTTCTCGGATGGTGACATTTTCTTAATCATGCTTGCGGTAGCTGCACCCGGAGGTCGATGGTGCTTTAGCAAGAGATTATTTTTATATCCTTTCCAGTGATGTGAGGAGGTCTAACCTCGTTGTGTCTCTGAAGCCAGAGGAAGAGCAGGCTGAGAATTTATGGGGGAAGTTTGCCGCGCCTCCTCCATGCGTCATGCGTCACGCTCGAGCTTGGGGAGCTGGAGCAAGACCCGAAATTATTACTATGGCTGTTTGTGTGCGTCAGCCCAGTCCACCCCCCATTTACAGAAAACGGGGAAGAAATTGACTTGTTTTCAAATAAGACTGCTTAATTTGTTAATCATTTGCCACAAATTAACCGTCTATCAAATGGCGATAATTGAAATAATTTGACATTTTTATAATCATAAAATGACAAGCACGGTATGCACACGATTGCTTGTGTGCATCATATTAATATAGACTTTCAATTCATTAGACAAATGCTTCTCACGTTCACCTCTTGTGTGCGCGCACCAAAGCAGCCTTTACTTTGTTTTGTCGCTGTAAAAGTACAGTCATCTTCAGCCACAGTCAGATTTCTTGCGAACATCGGCTTCATGTTTCGTCAATCATTAGTAAACTGACTGTCCCTCAGGAGAAAGCAACTGGAATATGTGGGGTTAGGAGAAGGGAGGTGGCGCAGCGGTGCACACAAGACATGGTATAGAGAAAGAACTGGGCTTTTTATTCTTTTAATTCCTATGTTTTCCCACATGTGTGACTTTGTCAGCTTATTGCTACGCCGTATAACTACTAATTTAAGGTTGATATTATACTGTTGCATTCTGTGTCACTATATGCATATATCGTTTTCATGTTTTAAACTGCTTTTCTATTATTGTTATTGTCCTATGTGTACTTTTCTGGGTTTTAAATATATATTACTGCTTTTATTAATTTAATATTGTCATGTTTTTTTAATAAGATTTTACTTAGATTTCTCAATTTATAGAATATACACTTCCCACATTGACAAAAAAAAACACCCACCATCCTAAGACAAAGCAAAACAAGACAAAACTTAACACCCATATTCACCTCACAGATCAAATAAACAAGCTCAACCTCAGTATCTTTTTATCTGATCAACTTAAAGGACATATGTTAAATATAAATAAACATACAAATACGTCTTATATAACTTAAATACCTTTCCTATCTATCGGTACACCCATCTTTCATCCATCACCAACTGGAACTTCAATAACAAAACCATCCTTTAGGTTTCAAACACTCAGTTGTTACATTCTAGACAGAATTATTTGTGCACCTGTCTTACTTTCTAACAAAGAAACAAAACACATTTTATTATTTCTATTTTTCATGTCCATTATTGGCTAATTGTTTGTTTATGTTTGTGTTTTCATCCCCTTTCAATCGTCTGTAAAGCACTTTGAAATGCCCTAACCTGTATGAAGGGTGTTCAAACGAAATTTGATTTAATTTGATATCAAATAAAATACTCTTTCTTTGATCATTATACTGTATGTCACAGTCCTCATAGTAGTAAAACAACAATAGGGAAGTAAATAAGTCTACATTTTCCTTTATTCAAGGTAAAAAGCTTCATTATTGTATTAAAATGTTTTTTTCAAGAGTGATGGCCAAAAGAGCTGCATAAAAACATTGTTACAACAATAAATATAATAAAAACAAAGTAAACAGGCTATGACAACTGTCACATGGTATAAGAAATAATTGTCCATTCAAGATGAATAAATATGAGTTTCAGTTTCTTCTAAAAAGTGAATAAATTCAGAGGAAGTGGAAGTCCTTGAGAATGTTTAGGGTTAAAAAAGATATTTAATTAATTCATTCACCATCCATCCAAAAATACTAGCTCATCATCTCTGCTATAGGCAACAATGTACACAACATCACTGACAAAAAACCAACAACTGAAGAACAGCTGGGTGTAACTGGTGCTTAGAAGCCATCGAATCCAATTTGTATTGACTTTCTCCCATGTGTTAATTGAAGTACCCCACAGACAGTCTAAAGATAGAGCTCTCTGTTTGTGACTCAAACTCTGGTCATCCACTTTGACACCTTAAGCACCTTTTACTTATTTTCTCACCTGTGAATCAGTGCAGACAGAGAAAATTACTTCTAAAAGAGACAGTCTATGATTCATGTGCTACTCGTGCTGTTGAGTGTCAATGTCAGCATCGACTATAATAGCTAATCAATATTATTATTAATGTATTATTTCTGAAACTTTTGCCCATGAGTTTCATATTATTTCCTGCATGTGCTGATGTTTTATGGGCTTTATTTTTATGTGTACTTTACAAACTATACAGAAGAAAAAGAGATAATACATACATGTAGATTTTATCCATCACATGTCCTTTTAAAGGGCATATGAAGACCATAAACCAACAATGGAAAGGCTATGATTATCATAAAACTGCACCTCCTTTAAATCATTATTTTTTTATTTGAGATAACCTGTGGCATTCAATGTCCATTTTGACAGCTGTTGGTGCTGGATTGCTGTCAGTGTGCCAAGATTCCCTGTATTTACAAATCTGCATCATCACTAGATTAATTTGAAGCAAGACAGCTGTCAGCAAAGTTCAGAAGGATGACATTTAAATGATTCATTGTTCCCTGTCTCCATATATCTCTTACCCTCTATGCTCTAAAAAAATAAAAAATATTATTACTCATAATAATGGTTACACAATATCCACAACAAGTTTAATAAAAACTTAAAGTTTTTGTATTTATCTTAATTTCATATGAAACCTAAAACTTTCCAGCGCTGATGACCTTTTTTAGCCTTCTGTGGGGCATTGGGGGTGAAATCAGATAGGTGTACTTAAGCCTGGTTGTTCATGCGATGGGTTTGTGTAACCAGGGTGGAGTGGACCAGTGCTACACCCTTGACTATTGGTCAGTAATTAAGCCAGTGTGTTCCCAGCGCTGCTTACAACAGAACACGTGCAGAATGGCTTGTTCAGCAAGGCACTGCTATAACACTGCCCTGCAAAAAACATAATGGAGGGAATATCATGCATAATCTCATCTACAGGGAAACACATCCTTACTTACTGTTTCTCTATGCATTTTAAATAGCTGTTGCCATGAGTTTTAATAAAATAATTATTAAGTTGCTCTGTATCTAGCATATACCCAGATAGTTTATACAATGAATTCAAAAATGTCCAATAATCAACTTAATATGGCTGATGATTCAAAAGCATGGTTTTTGGATTTGACAAATGATTCCGTTTCTTGGTAACAGCTGACATAGAACAGGTCATGGCAAAAACAGAGACCAACATCAACATGTTCACTCTGTTGAACTACAATGACAAATGCACAGACCCTGGCTGCTCACCTGAGAACCAGCTCAGGGTCAGCCAATCCTAGAAAACACAAACATGGATGTGTCTCTTAGGCACAACCTCTTTGTCTGTGTGCGTTTTGATTCTTCAGTCTTGAATCATGTTTGTATCCCAGCAGTTTGCAGCCTGTTCTGTTACATAGTTGGACCTCGACACATGCACTGTCCTGGCAACGTGGCTCTCAAGCGGAGTAAACACACCAGCTGCAGCCCACTCAGGCCATGGCCGATCATACGCATTAGACTAATTTCCTTCTCAGCCATGTTTGCCTTCATCAATTAGTAAAGAGGACAGAGAAGACTGAAAAAAGATGCTGTGGCCCCTCTGCGAGGACACAGTGCTTCACAGCTGATGTGAAAACAAAATTATGTGTTTTTGATCTGGTGAAGTGATTAAACCAGTGGCAGAACATCTACATCTTAGATCTTCGTTTTCAGTATAGGCACACCAAAGCTTTATTGTGAAGGAACCAGTTGTGTAAAAAAAATATGAAATAGGACCATGGATCGTCTCCTTCTTTATGTCATTGAAAATGCCATAAACACTGAGGATGCAGCTGAGACAGACTGTGGACGAGCAGTCTGAGAGTCTTTTTGCTGAGAGGAGCTCCAGAGATTTTTTTAATAGCGTTTTGTGGTTTGACTTTATTTGCAATTTCATGAATGAAACATTACATGGCAGAAGAAGAAACACACTGAATGATAGCAGTGACGCATTTGTTATCAAAGCACATATGCTAGAAATCTGATAGCAGACAGAACAGACAGATATTTTTTGCATCGTGTCTTCACCCTGGCTCCTTGTGATGGCATGTCACACATGAACCGCCACGTGTGCGTAACATGCTTGGCACATGTGAGTAGTGAAGGATGTGATTTACACTCAACGAGAGCATACGTGTGGTAAATGTATAAGTGCCTTTGCATATGTGTGTGTACAGTATGTGTCTGTGTGATTGTGTTGGTGGAGATTTGCAGAAACAACCCACACTGACTTGGCTTTAGGCTTCTGGGGTTGTTTTTTGGCCCCACAAGAGGCAACATGGATCAAAATGTCAGTGTAGAAACATCTCCTGACGGCAGTGGTTCTCAATTTATTTGATGTCAAGGACCCCCAGATTGATACAAATTAGGCAGAAAAACGTTATGTGATAAGATGTCGTCTGAGGGAGCTCCATCTGATAAGATTTAGTTATTCTATATCTGTCTGTTCTGTAGCACACATTTCAACACAAAAAAGTGAAATATTGTTTTTAATTTGAATTAAATAATGTTTTCAGTTAATTGATTCCAAAATTGCAAAAAAAAACTACCATAACTCTTGAACCATTTCTGCAATTGAAATCAGATTTGGTGATTTGGTGACATATGCACAAATCACCTCCAAGCGGTCCTGCAAAATGTATTAATTTCACCTATTTGTGACATTACAGAACTCAATTGTCATGAGTATGATGCACTTATTTAAAAACATCACAGTGACATACCCATCCATTAGTGTGAGAGTTATGACGCAGATTGAGACCCAGATGTAAATTAGAATGTCTATTTTTGATGGTATGTGGCCACAAAGTAGTTGATGCATCCCAATATTCTATCAGGTGCGTTGGCAAAAAACAAATATAGACACCTGATTCAGCACAGGTGTGGGTCCCAGAGCAAGCCCAGACTTGCGTCAGATGTGTACATGCTGATATAACTGATGGTGGGGCTTGCAGGTG